AAAACCTATTGCCACTGACATCGACGCCAGTCGTGCAATTCAAGCGCGACTAGGTTAAAGGGACAAATAAAGAAAACCGGAAAAACTAGAGAATTTTTTTCAAATGCTCTTAGTTTTATATGCGAAAAAGAAAAGTAAAGAATGCCGACCACATATTTCCACAGGGCGAACTCGAGTAAATGCGTCCCAGAATCGGGGGGGGGGGTATCGCATGATTGTTGCATAATTTGGCATGATTTTGGAATGCCTAATTGCGATTTCGTCTTTATTATTTTTATTTATTGAATGAAGTAGAAGCATCGCCTTTCAACGAGTGGTGGAACGCTCATGCGCTATCAAGTGCCTACATGTAAGGGGAGGTAAGTCAAACATTGTGCAGCTCGAGCAGTCGGTTTTTACTAGCAGACGCAGCCTGCGTCGCCTTCACGAGGAGAGAGAGAGGAGGGAACAAACAGTTGGCACGAGACGCAAGCATGCGCACGACACGTGAGGCGCGATCATGCGCAGTCGGGGTGTAAACTACGCCGACGCATGGCGCGTGACATGGTGGTACTAAGAAATGATTCGAATTTAAAAATTGACTGTACGGCTTATCTGGAAGTTCGCTAAATGGTTGAAGGCCTCATGTTTTAGTAGAACCTAATTAATTGTGGCCGTATGCTTTCTGGGCTTCTTCTTAGCTCAGTTAATTCACTTTTGCGCGGTGGTTTCATGCGTAACTTCTGGAGTTAATTTACTGGCTTATGTGTTGTTTACTGGCGCGACATTTCAGAACTGAACAAGTGCGCAGAATGTGTAGATAGCCACACTTCTGATTGCTGATTGCTTTCGCTGGCACACGGCCGGCGTGCCCTCGCATTACGGTCACGGCGAATGCCGCGTGCTATATTATCAAGGAAACGCTCTACTCTTAGGTTGCCAAGGAGATATTTTCAGAGGTGCTGTCTCACTGCACTGGTTTTTCTCGATTGACTAACGTTAGTATTTGAACTTTTGTGCTATTGTGCTCGTGAACAGTTGTATCACAAGTTCTACATCTGCAAAATATCTCGTGTGTATTGAAAGTAGAGTATTCGGCTAATAAACCATCTTGCATGCTTGCCCAATCTTTTTTGTTGGACTTCCTTCTTTTCTCGTGAATTCAACCATCGATCCGTAAAGGCGCAATGAAATCGGGTAATCAAAAGCATGCGAAAGGTCAGCAATTGAAAAAAAAAATCTATTTCGCGCCATGTAGGTCAAATGCAAGACGTCACTACTGCATCCGGTTGTGAGGTTTTATTTTATTTTTTTTATGTTTTGCTTGCTATCAGTTCTCCCGTCGATGCTTACATTACGAAGGCGACAACGTGCTGTCAACTACTTGATACATGGGCTTCCATGGAAGTTACGCTACTAGTTTACATGTACTTTTTATATACGCTACCAGTTTACATATACCGGCGCGATGCCGGAGGCAGCGCTTTCGTAGCGTGGATTGACACGTTCTGTGAGAGATGGCGCCACACTACGTGAAGCACTGTAGCCTACTGCAGCCTACTGTAGCGTCGCGGACGCTTGGCTGCAGACATCAGCCAAACACCAAGATTTCTCTGCACAGTGACAGCAAACACTGTTGTCCGTATGTACTAGGACCAGGCCTGCTGTCGGGGGGGGGGGGGGGGGGCTAGGGGCTCGTATTTTCTCTCAATATCTCTGGAGGGGTGTGTTTTCTCTAAAATAAATAATGAAAATAGGTTTTTTTTTAAAACAGGCCATGTTTCGGCTCAACCTCTTAAAAAAAGTTCGGCTACAGCCCTGACGAGTGCATAGTGTACTTAGGGGGGGGGGGGCTGTTAATAGATAGGTGAGCCCTTGGCAACGTGCCCGAAAGTACGGTTCGTATAATTTCCGACGACCCTGCTTTGCCAGTGCACATTTTGTGCTCTCCTTCAGACTTGAAAATGGGACTGCCCACCATAGCTTTCAATTGTGGATTATAGGGACCTGGTTCGCTCTATTATAACATTGCGCTAGTCGATGAGGCGAACATTTGATCGTTCGGAGCGTTGGCAGGAGTGGAATACGCCAATTTTTTTTTTATTTGGACGATGGTCGCTAAAATTATCTCTCTACAAATCACAAGGCAACACCCCACATGCTTTGTGGAAGCTAATATGCGATTTGTCACCTGCTGTGTTGTTTTTATCTTGTAGTTACGTGTATCACACTCGTGTCAGTCTCGCATTACATCAAAAGTGCATATCTCTCAAAGTAATCAATGGCTCATTACTAAAAAGAATGCTGTTCACAAGTGCTAAGCGAATTTTTCCTGTGACAAGGTTGGATCCGTCAAAACTAAGAGAAAATTCTCGTCATGTATCCACGTGCTAAGTGTTTTACACAATTTTTTTTTTTCAGTAGCAGCTTGATGCTACACTACTGGTTATGCTTTTTTGGGTTATTTAGTCTTTCCTGTGTCTCATAATTTTTTACCTGTTCTTACAAGTCTAAATTTAATTGCGCGGTTTCAGTGCGTGCTTTCTTTGTCGATATACAGTTGGAGCTTTCGAAATATAAAATTGTAAAGTAGAGTCACCTGAAAGCTACCACAGCATTTTATTTGCCAGTAATAACACACGCCTGCACATGGGGACAGTTTGCGAGGGCACGCCGAGTAGGAGCGTATCCAGGAGGTAGCACACCGGGCACGTGCCCTCCCCCTTCCCGAATCTTTTTGGGAATGGCTTATAGAGCGAAAAATGGCCATTTTAAGGGGTGCTCTCCCGAAATTCAAATGGTCCCCTCCCCCTGTAAAACACTTCTGGCTACGTGCCTGACGCCGAACAATAATTGATTCCACGTTTAGATGTTACAGGCGAGGTAGGTGGTCACGCCTGCTGATACTCAAGCTGACAGAGCTAAAAAAAAATGGAAAACAAATCCAGTTAATGTGCAAGCAGGCAGAGAGAGAAAGTTCCTAGACGGCAAGCAGTGCCATCCACCTGCACAAACAATTAAATAGCGAAAACAATCATGCAGCGTGTCGTGTGGGTGTATTTGCAGGGACAACGAACCACTACCACCAAGCGCCATTTGATACGTTAAAGCGCTACGACGGCGACGTGTAGCCTCGAACAAAAAAAAAAACAACCCCGTACTCTTGACTAGCGTAGATAGGTGTTCTAGCGAGAGCATTACACGTCCGAAGTAAAGCCGTCTTTGTAAATAATTCAAAAACCAAAGTGCACTGCATTCTTGCTCAATTGTTTTCTGAAAAACTTCAGTAATTCGAGTTTAGTGTCATGAACGCTTTCCTTGTTCCCGTTTATGACAATATAGAACCTTATGGGCAATATATATATTTCTTCGTTAGATGGGGAAATATGTAAAACCTGATTTTGCTAAACCAAGTTTCAACTGTAGTTGTATCCTAATTTTCACGATTGCCTGTTGATTGGTGCGTACATTGAGTAATAATAATCTTGTTTTCATGTTGTTATTGGTATTGAATGCTTATTTTTTTTTTCTCGCTAGGCCAAAGCTTGCCTCTTTTTCTTTTCACTCTATAACCGGCGCGCTGGTCTCCATTGATCGTTGCGTACACAGGCAGGCGTTTTTATGGCTGCCTTCGCTTTTCACCCGTACCGTCAGTTCACATGATACTAAGCGCCTGTTAGGCACCGAGATTCGCCCAGCCGCTTCAGGTTGTTGTCTCAGCATGAGAATCTCGGCGTGCATTCACTGCATTATTAAGCATGTAGCTGCACAAAGGCACAAATTTTCAGCGGGGTTGAAGCTCAGGAAAAAAATTAAAAGAAAACCTCTCCCCCAGCGATAACGCACCTTTTGAGGCGGAGTGACATAGCTATCATGAACTATAGGCAGCGCAAGTGTCTCGGATTTTATCGAGGGCGGCTTAGGACGCTGCATAGGCAAGTAAAGACAGGGTTGCGCTAGCACAGCTCGATTGCTTGCACAAGTCACTTATTCCATATAAAGAGCGGCGTAGGGCTGAGGGATGGCATAAATTTGCAACTGATTTGGGAGCCTAAATGTCAATAAGTATATCCAACGCTATTTTAATTATATAAAAATATGAAAAATAAGAAAGCTAGACATGTTTTTTTGTTGCGTCCCAGGCACAGAACCCAACAATTGAGAAAAATTTTGCATATTTTTTTCTCGAGAAAAATGTCTTAGTCTGTGTTTAGGAGATTTTTTGCGGTTCCAAAACAACATTGCGTCAGAGCAACCACTGAAGAACATAAATCCTATCAGCTCCCTAATGTTACTCGCCTAGTGAAACACACTGTCCATAAACATAGCAAGAATAGTGTCAAAATTTTGCAGAGAGCGTATTTACACCATACAAGGATGAACAAAAGCAAAAGTGCTTTTGTTTTGCTTTTGTGTGCAGATTTACTATCTAAATTTCATAAAACAAAAATGTCGCTGGGCATAGATTACGGCCTTTCTTGTGAAGACTGTTACCGACTTTCCAACACCATTCTCATCGTAACAGAGCAAGCAAACTTAAAGTCAGTTTAATGCGAAAAAAAAAACGAGCGCCGTAAGACATGGACCTAGACAACAAGCACACTAGGCAGTCTATGCCCGCGTTTCATAGCGCTCGTTCGCTTCTGATCAAGTATGAACAAACTTGCCCAAACACACGTCTTGAAGTCAGCCATTGAGGCCACTTCTTGTAAATTTATGCCACGTGCATAGAAGTTTAGCACTCTTCTTTCTAAGGAGCAACGTATTGATAATAAAAATAAATAAATAAACAAATAAATAACATAAATAAAGTAAATAACGAAGAAGATGGCAAGTACACAAGCACCAGTACTAGCTTTCTTCGGTATGGCTAAGCGAATGTCCTCGTTTCTGTCTTCACAACAAACTATATTTGGCTGGCGAATATATAGTGCACATTGCGTACGTTCCTTTTCAAGAACCCATACCGTTGTCATCTTTGCTAGTATTTCTCACTGTGTTTGTGCTCGTTAAAAACGCAGGTACTACGCCATCATGTCTCCTTTGAGCTTCCGATGGACCCGCAAGCGTGGTCCCCACATCATCTTGGTCATTTGGCTGGTGGCTGCACTATTGTCTAGCGTCCAGTTTGTTCATGGCCGAGCCACACCTTTTACCTGGGCCGACGGCACCTACTACGACTGTCACGAAAATTGGGACGAGAGGGCGGGAAAGGTGAGAATCCGCTACTTATTTTGTGCTTCAGCTGCGTTGGGGTTCAATACGCCTTCCTCAAGTTCGATATGCTTAGTACTTTGCCTCCTTAGCGTATAAAGGTAGTGAATAATTACCAATTGACCACTGACTACATTCCTAAACGGACGCCTTCGAAATCGACGGCGTCATGGTAAGCTGGTTAGGAAACTTTGAGCTAGCGTTAGCAACTGTTTGTCCATCGGACATTTTTGAGCAAAGCTTGCTCGCCCCAGTGTTGCAGAGTTGTCACTTCAGAATGGGAATGAATCCGGAATTATTCCACATATACTCTACCCCGGAACGGAATATGAATAGAATGGTGACAAAGCTTAGAGAAATGGTAATGGGAATGGAATGAAGTGCGTTTTTCACAGAATGAAAGGGGAATGGAATTACATCCTTTTCTGAATGTAGAGCAGACTTTCGTCGACGTGCTGTTTTCCAGGCTTCAAACATATCAAGTCACACCATAGAGTTTAACGTTAAAGAAGGGAATTAAAAAGGCTTGGCTGATTGACAGCATTGTACACTTATAAGCAACGCACCTACTATCATCTGTCCTTATGGACTGTGTTGCTGCGAAGTTTATGTCTATTTTTCGCGTAACCATGGCTCTATGCCACGCTATTCATCATCTGGAACTATACAATGGCGGCATACTCCCCTTACACCTGGTGATTGTTTTTTTCCTCTAGCGTGCGCCTCAGTCGTCTGCTGCCTCCCCATCCTTCACTTAGTTTGGCTTCTGCTTCTGCGCTCGTTGGTGACTTGGACACCTATTCAAAGACGTGCTTTTCTAGGTTGTGATGCGCATTGACGCTTGTGCGATGCTTTTTACTGCAAGCTTTCGTGTACCAGCTTGCGCGCAGTTTCGCCATGTATTACCTCCCCCCCTCCTTTTTTTTATTTAGTATTGTCTGCCTTGTCTACACATATGGGTGCCTTTGCCAGAAAATTCTATCTCAAAGATCTGGGGCCGTATTCACAAATCTTTCTCTTGGCTGCGCATTTTCTTGGCAAAGATTTCTTTTTTATCAAGGAAGTACAATAGCAGTGTAATGAAATTAACTTATTCAACACTTAAGAGAGCGAGGAGGACGCTCGAAAGCTGGCAAAACAAAAAGAAAAGAAAAAAAAGTGTTTGCCGATGATAGCAACGTAGCACGCAAAGCGTCTAGCATCGAGAGTATACGATAATGATTTGTTGCATCTCAGCTTCCAGTTCCGCAAGTGTCTCAACAGTGCTTTCGCGCTGCCGCGTTGTAATAGACGTCTGGGTGTCCTGCGCTAAGCCAAGCGTTTGTCTTTCATCAATACCCGTAACAAAAATATATTTGTTCAGTGGCTTTAAGCAATATTCCGTGTGATTTCTCGCCAAGTACAAGTGAGCAACACTCCAGGTACACCACACGATGAAAACTGCGCAAATATTGATGCAATCAATGTTTGGGATGTGCTCCAAATGTCTTCCCCTGTTTACACGACCAGTTAAGTTATAATAGGCTGCGCTGCTACTCAACTAATTCAGAATAATCGAGCATGGTATAGGGGTAAATAAAAGGGAGTTTTGCAGCTACACGTAAATGTTGCCTTCTTTACAATATGCTTATTACAACACACTGCAGGGGCATCTTTTGTGCCCGTGGACGAATTCTGCGGAAATATAAAACAGCAGAAATCAAATGAAATCATGAGCGCAATTTCGCAGGTTCCATGCAGCGCAGCATTTTGATAAAGCCGGAATGCGAGAACATGCATACGCTTACGCTTAGATATATGTGTCTACGTAAAACGAGGGAGACTCCTTGGGAGGTGTATCAGTGCTAATGCTTTTCAGAAAACACGGGGCAGTTATTTCGCCATACGGTGTTTGCATGAGTAAACAAAGCAAGGAACATTCACGAGTTGTGGACTCAAGATACATTACCACACGCTCTAATAGAATGAAAACAAAATTAAGAGAGAGAGAGAAAGAGATGCCTTTAGCGCGACTCTCATATTGTGTCCGCGAAAGCCTGAAATCTAAGTGATCGTGATAATAAAGACAATTTTCTGGCCCAGCAGACATCATGAAAAGTTTCCCTAAAGCATTGTCGAATGCTTGGAGAGCATAAAAAAGCTAGGTTTGTTTTCAATGAGAACGCCAGCCACAGAGAAAGCAAGATAAAGTGGGACTGTTCTTATGTATGAGAATTAAAGCTAACTATGAGAGTTGTGAGTTGATTAGCGAAAGTTTTCTTAAGTGACGGTAATAGAAACAAACAGAGTATTCTTTTAGTGAAAGTAACACTAGAGTGCTTATTTACATAGCTCAGCTCATTCACACCACAGTAATAAGCCATCTTAGGGCACCTAAGCTGGAAAATAGGCACAGCGCAACGAAATTCTAGACAATACATAAATGATGCAATTCTACGCTGCCTAAGCTCCTTTGTGCAAACAATGTTTCTATTGACACTTGTAGACCAAATTCTATACCCCAAAAACAAACTTCAAAAAGCCTTCAAAGTTTGCTGATCAGCACAGTTGCCGTACAGCAGTCTTTTAGTCTGCTTGAAAAAAATTTAGTTCACTGGTGGGCAAAGGCTGTACACTAAGTATGTGAAGCTTGCTCCAGTGCTCTGTATGTATATCTTGCTGCTGGCCTCAACCACAATGTTTGTCCGCACATATGTGTTATTTCACAATTTATACTATGCCACTACAAAGTAATTATGTTTCATGTGCGTGAAACAAGGACCACAATGAAAGACCATAAGAACATTGACCTTCACACACTTTAAAAATGCTAATAAACATAGTTTTCACCACTTCTCTGAGTATAGTACTAGCGGTAATAAGCTCACAGTTACTTCTATTTTCAAATTAGTTTCAAGTCGCCAGCTTCATTATTAGAGCATACGAGTAGCCCTTGTATAGTAAAACAGTGATAAAACACCTGAAAAAAGATAAGTGAATGCATCCTATAGCTACATATGAACTGATATGAATACTTTCGGTATTTTTATAGGAAAGCTGCATAGATGATACGTCATTTGCATTATACACAATTGCATTATGAAGAAACCTACCCGAGCGAACACTACTTTAAAAGTTAAAGTTACACAGTAGAAATAGAGAAGTAGACTGTTGAAGAAGGAACAGACAGTGGGATAACATTACACAAGTACTAAAACCTAGTGGGTGATATTCTAGGAGTAGGGATGATCTTCTTTTACCCAAATGAAAAAAAGTCCTCAGAGAAGCACTTCCCAGAGCTATACATACACGAAATGATTGGTGCGACACAAATGCCTGTATACTAAATGAATATATCAGCTAAGTACACAGTTACTGCATCAATGGATTTACTTCTTTTACTACAAAGAATGCAAACACAGTTACCATTGTCGACCATGGATGCTGTTTTGGATGGCACTTGAAATGCATAGGTGACGCAGGCATTTTGATTAACACACATGTTAAAATCTGCAGCTCAAATTGATTGGCCCACTATACTACAACGTGCTTTAAATTAGTGTCATGGTTTGGTATCTTCCTTGCAAATTTTACTTATAGCAGAATGCTCAAGTGCAAAGGAACTGCTGAATGATGCACTACTAAGAAGGTAAACTGCACCTGCACAGAATGTTACTATACAATTCAAACTGCTCCAGCCATCACAATGTGCTCTTTCTGCTGACGTGCACTTTGAGCAGAAGAACACAGTCACTGACGGGCCCTTTCTACTTGTTGGTCTTTTGTGCTCTGTTCGTTAACACGGTACATGACCGTCGAGTACCTGACTCCTTGTTACTGCTGGAATCTAGAAAAATACAGATCATCGTTACAACCATGCTACATGCAAAAGTGTACAGTTGATAGGTATGAGCTCATATATACAGCGTTCGTATTTTCAGAAGCCGATGACGAGTATGAAGAAACAATACAAACGACAAGAAGTGTCAACAGATACACAAACAGTGAATACTGAAATATATTTTATGATACAAGTGCATAACTACGATGTTAATTTTGAAAGCATGATAATTCTGCCAGGCATAATAAGCAATAAATTATCTTCTACTTCGACCATACCCTAGATGCAAGAAGCCGATCACATATGAATCCACTAGGCCACACAAGTTAAAGTGTGTTACTAGAGAACAGCTAATGTTCACAACTTTAAAGATATCTAACCTTAGCCACCTTCCTACAGCGTGCAGAAGCACATGGGCAGTCATGTGGACACAAAGCACTTGCGGATTATGGGAGTGCTTGTTGCTCACGTCTATAGTCCCAGATGAAAAAAAAAACCTTTATAAATGCACTTCAACTTAACTGTGGGAAATATTCCTACGCAACAAACACACTTTCAATCTGCATATTCATTTCAACAGGCTCCTACAGCTACCACCAACACTCACCAATAGTATTGATGCCGTGTCATGCCAGACGGATATGCTGCGTCTTGCCAGGACACCAAGGCAGCGCTCCATGACTTCGCTTGCACGAGTGCTGGCTGCACCGCACTGCTGCTCAAGTGGGCTAGCCACGGACAGGGATATGAGGAGTCATGACTTTGAAGCACAGCGAGAGTGACCCTTATAATTTAAAAATGTACACTTAGGTTAGGCACAATTGCAGAAAATATTTATCACTATGCAATGGTTGTGAACATTTTTGGCTGAAATCAACATTCCACAGCACTGAATGAGAAGAGGCTACCTCAGGCAAAAGGTGCATTTACTGACCCTTTGTCGCCTGAGGGTTGTACGAAAGGTCTTCCTCCATGCAAGTTGTAAACGGCTAGGCAATTTTCACCCACTTACTGATTCATTCCAAAGCAGTTAATCCACCGAGTAAGTGACAAGCTCGAGAGTTAAATAAGGAATTGAAGTATTTGTGCTTGTCCAAAGCACGCGCTTTTCAGCCTCACATGAATCGACTTTTCATACTAATCTGCAGGCTTTACACTTTAAAACGTTCTAAATTATCTT